AGGAGAATGGGCCGACTGATTCAAGCTGATAGAAGAGCAACTTTGACTGAAATAACCACTCGTTACAACCGAGGTATGCAGCAAAGCAATTGTGAACAAGACACAACACACACAACCTTGAGGCGGATGGGCTACAACAGCAGAAGACCCCACCGGGTACCACTCATCTCCACTACAAATAGGAAAAAGCAAGAGCTCACCAAAATTGGACAGTTGAAGACTGGAAAAATGTTGCCTGAGTCAGAATTTGGCGTAAACAGAATGAGATCATGGATCCATCATGCCTTGTTCCCACTGTGCAGGCTGGTGGTGGTGATGTAATGGTGTGCGGGATGTTTTCTTGGCACACTTTAGGCCCCTTAGTGCCAATTGGGCATCGTTTAAATGCCACGGCCTACCTGAGCATTGTTTCTGACCATGTCCATCCCTTTATGGCCACCATGTCCCCATCCTCTGATGGCTACTTCCAGCAGGATAATGCACCATGTCACAAAGCTGAAATCATTTCAAATTGGTTTCTTGAACATGACAATGAGTTGACTGTACTAAAATGGCCGCCACAGTCACCAGATCTCAACCCAATAGAGCATCTTTGGGATGTGGTGGAACGGGAGCTTCGTGCCCTGGATGTTCATCCCACAAATCTCCATCAACTGCAAGATGCTATCCTATCAGTATGGGCCAACATTTCTAAAGAATGCTTTCAGCACCTTGTTGAATCAATGCCACGTAGAATTAAGGCAGTTCTGAAGGTGAACACAGTATTGGTATGGTGTTCCTAATAATCCTTTAGGTGAGTGTATATAGTATGAATGTCTGTAGCATGAATGAAATTAGAACATTCCGCCATGTTGTCATTGTCATGTGACCTAGCATCTGTTGCGTTGCTACACTTCCATTCATAAATCCTCTCCTCTGGCCGTAAGGGATAGTAAAGTGTCCAGTGTTTGCAAATCTCACCGGAAGTAGTAGGTCATCCAGGTCATTTTCACCTTCTGTTTTATGAATACTATCGCAGAGCAGTTCTTGTGAATAGCAAACTTAAAAATGTCTACGTTTTTTTTTTTTTTTTTTTTCAAATATAAATACAGTGCAGAGTGGCTCTTACAGACACCTCCAATCTCGGCTCATTTCTTAAGGGTAGTTTATTTCTGACACTAATTAGCTTTTACACAAGTCATTAGCGTATAGAATGACATATTGTTTCCTGTTTTAACTGTACTGTACTATGACAGAATAATTAAACACATATCCACTAACAAGTAATTCTGAATTTATGCTACCTGAATAATATTTCTCTCTTCAGTGCTTCTGCTCTCCCCTGAGGATTATGGCTTCTCATTTTACTGTATTGAAGCTAAAACAAAACAAAGCCAAGGAAAGAAAGCCCAGTCTGTCATCTTTTTCTGTTTTGGCCATGATATGATGAATAATTTCTGTTCACCTCATAAAGCCTGCCACATAAGTTATTTAAATTTATTGTAATCCGAAATATATTGAAGTGCTCTTATTGAATATGAATGAGAAGGCAACACACCTTTAAAGGCTGAGAAATACATAATATTATTTAGATTATTATTCCCCAGTGTGTTTATATGTAGATATCCTGGAATAAAAGGTTAAACAAAGGCATATGTTAAACCTAAGACAAGTCCCAGTGTCACAGTCAGCATATTTGCAGAGACACATTATGTACATAATAATCTCTTCAGAAGTGAGTTCGTGGCTCTCATGCTTTGACTTTTATCAAAATCCAAACAAATTATGGACAATACTATCAGTATGTCGAAATATTTTCAAAATGTTGTCCTCAAAGACAAATACCAAACTAAGCTCAGACTATTGCTAAACATTTTCTAAATTGTCATACATGTTTTATTTCATTTTGTACCAGGGCCATCCACACAATGCTGTCTTGTATTTTTGCCTGCAGTGACCAAAAAAATAAAATAAATAAATAAATAAATCCAATTTCCAAAGTGAATAACTGAGCAAATAAAGGCGCAGTATATTTGTATGTTTTCTCTGTGCTCTTGTTTTTTTATAATTTGCAGCGAGTCTAAAACCGGTATGCTGTTCTATAATGGTTTGTATATTTTACATGTACATTTATGCATTAGGCAGGTGTTTTTATTATCCAAAGCAACTTGCATTTAAATTTAAGGTAGGCTATAACTTTAATCAATCCAATCAGCGTATTCCACCTTATTTTTCAGTTTTCTAATTTATTAGCCACTATACAGTAGGTATAAGTGTAGTAAACTTCCTGCTACAAACCTAGGGTGTGTTTCCCGAAAGCATCGTAAGCCAACTATGGTCGCAAGTTCTGTCGTTATGAGTATAGTTAGGCCCGGTTCACATATCGCGTCTTTTGCGCGCTCAAGTTCGTTATTTCAAATGTAGGCGCGCGGTATGCGCGCTCATAATAGAAGCGACGTGGTCGCGGTGCGACGCGCTCGTTTTTTCCAGGCGCGTCCGCGCCGCATCGAGATAAAAACATCTCAACTTTTCAGAATGCCGCAAGCGCACCGTAGGTCACGTGACACGAACCAACCAATCAGCTTCCTCGCCATTTTTGTTACCTCTTCTTAAATATAATCAAACTGGTCCTTGTCCACTCTGAAATAGGCTTTGAACCTCCCATTGTCCAGGCGGAGTTCCTGAATCATCTGGTGAAATTCCCCATGGTTCTTGCGTTTTTGTAGTATGGGGTGCACCCAAACACTGCGGCGTTTTTTTTACTTTTCTGAGTAAATAAATCTTGTAACAGAGTTACAGCAAGGGTTTTTCGGTGGTGGAAATCCATTGCTGAAATTTCCTTCATGTAATGGAGAGCGCAGCTGATGGTTGCTTAGCAACGACAGACGCCTCCGGAGTGCAACCGCCCTAGCGCTTCTTTGGAAAAAGGAGAACGCGTGCGCCTAGCGTTTTCTACGCGTTTTTAGGCGCGATATGTGAACGGCCCCTTAAACGAGTCGGCGTTTTCCGAAACCATCGTTCCAACGAACATTCGCAAACAGCATCGCAGAGTTGTGTGTTTGGAGCGACAGAGAGTTTATAGATTGCATGACATGTGGACTCAATAAATCCTTATCTTGAGCCAAATAAGCAAGCTGACACCGTTTTTAAAGACTGCGCTTGTGCGAACGTGCTCTACTATGTAAGAACGTGCCTATGATTGAATCTGGAAATAAAGCAAAATATCTGAGAAAAATTTGAAATATTCCTCAGATGACAAGTCTGTAATTTATATAAAAAAGCGTCTAGCATTAATTCGATCTCAAACAGTTTCATTAAAAGTAGCTATTACTCCACCATGTGCGTGACGTCATAAACCACAGTGGTTGAACAACCAATTTGCGACAATAGAGTTTCCGGAAACAGTCGTGGCTAGATTTCTTCAACGATGCATCAAGCTCGCTGCTTCACTACCATAGGACGATACATCATTTTAATTACGAATCATTCGCAAGCTGGTTGTTCCTGAAGGAGGGCTCAGTATCCAGTGTATATGGATCAGGTTCGTCCTCCTCCGAATCACAATCTGTAAGTATTATTAATAATGTTTGCTGTTTATGTTTTCTGTAGCTTGCACAATATAGTTATATTGTGGTGTTGTTGTGTGTTGTGCACACTCCGCGCAGCTTCTAACCTGGTAAAGTTAGCTTTGATTGCCATTTTTCAATGAATGTCTGGTGAATGTCGAAATTACCTCCTAAATGACTTAGCCAAATATGACTCCGCTCTATATAATAAGCACTGCCCCTCAAAAGCCGCCGCAATGTGAGTTTCGCCGGGAAAGCTCGCTCTTGACGGAGACGCGAGTAAGGGACCGTGTGGAAAGTGCACTTTTTCTGACACGTTTGTTCATACACTGTATACAACACTTGACAAGCTATAATCCTGGTTATGGGCGTTCCGTTGCTGACAGTCTCTGCCTACGGTTTACCAATAACAACTGACTGGGTCATGTGACCAACCGCAGCAGATTCGCGTCACTTGGGAAAATTAATCGTCGAACGAATCATTTGGAAGTCTTTGAGCAAATCAAAAACAAAAATAGGAACATTTCAAATGCTATGATAGGGGCTCTTTAAATCTTTTGACAAACTAAAAGACGTAAATTACATTTGTATGTATTCTAAATAAAAGGCATCAGTTGTTCTGAATGTCAGCTTGCTTATTTTGCTCAAGATAAGGATTTATTACCTCCAAATGTCATGCAATATACAAACAATGCCTCTAACCACAGGTCGAGAGCTGTCGTTCAAACCAAACAACTTTTTGCGATGCTGTCGTTGCAAATGTTCGTTGGACTCGTTGAACTATGCTGATAACGACCGAACTTGCGACCATAGTTGGCTAACGATGCTTTCGGGAAACACACCCCTGGTTATGACCACAAATTAAAAGAATATGATAACGAATAGGCTATCAGTTTGCAATATCAGACAGTAAAGGGACTGTTTTTGTGCAGCTAAAATACTGGAACTGGACTAAAACATGCACGTGTCCACTTTCATGTTAAAAATAAAGTAAATAAGGCTTGGATACTTTATCTTCCACTGTTGGTCCTCTGTGACGATCATTGAATCCCACTCGACCATGATAAACCACTCACCGAACACTTTATGTTGAAATGTGTGCGGCAGGGTTCCTCAAATCCAAGCCTTAAACCCTGCTCAAACTCACCTGCAGGTCATTATAGTAAAACTGCTTTATAGACCATTTCACAAGATGTAAACAACACTGGTCCAGAAGCACTTCCTGTTTCAGTTTTTTAACACTACATAAAAGCTGTGATAAAGTACAACCAACAGAACATTTAAAACTGAATCAAAAAGTTAAACAAACATCTTTAAGATGTTATGTGAAATTAAGAAAACAGTTACAAACTGAAACAGGAAGTGTTTCTGGACCAGTGTCGTTTACATCTTGTGAAATGGTCTATAGTAAAACTGAAGGCAGTGTATGTTCTCATCCTCTCTTCTTCTGTCTAGGTTCACAGAGTTCCTGGAGCCTTTTGAAAGAGTTATCCAACCTGAAGAACTATGGCTTTACAAGAACCCTCTGGTGGAATCAGACCACATCCCGAAGAGAGTCATGTTTGTAAGTGCACACCATTCAGGGCAAATTTAATCATGCTTTCCGGTAAGGCTGGATTGCTTTAACTCCAGTTTTAACAGTTTAACATGATGCATGATTGTTCATTAAGTTTCTAGACGGCTTTCATATTACTGCTGAGGAGGAGCTTCAGACACACACTAGGCACATTTTCATTATTTCACACTGATTTCATAATAGTTTGATGGGTTCAATATGATATGAACACTGCTGAGGGTGTGCATGTCTGTAATTCCATTTGTTAACAGCGTTTAATGGCTTGCACTCGCATATTATTACAAAAAGCAATAATCATATTCATAAAAACATCCAATATAGTCATCTCCAAGAGTCTGCCTATTTTCCTTACTGGTCTTATTCAATAACCACTTGTGTTGGTGTGTCGTTATCAAATTCTTTTCAATATCATTACACTACGGAGCCCCTCTAGTCCCACTTTGGTAAAAAAAAATTAATTATAACTATCTTGTGGCCTCAAGATAGTAACTCGTGGCCTCAAGATAGTAACTCGTGGCCTCAAGATACTAACTCGTGGCCACAAGATACTAACTCGTGGCCTCAAGATAGTAACTTGTGGCCACAAGATACTAATACTAACACGAGTTACTATCTTGAGGCCACGAGTTACTATCTTGAGGCCACGAGTTAGTATCTTGAGGCCACGAGTTAGTATCTTGTGGCCACGAGTTACTATCTTGAGGCCACGAGTTACTATCTTGTGGCCACGAGTTACTATCTTGTGGCCACGAGTTAGTATCTTGAGGCCACGAGTTAGTATCTTGAGGCCACGAGTTAGTATCTTGTGGCCACGAGTTACTATCTTGTGGCCACGAGTTACTTTCTTGAGGCCACGAGTTACTATCTTGTGGCCACGAGTTAGTATCTTGAGGCCACGAGTTAGTATCTTGTGGCCACGAGTTACTATCTTGTGGCCACGAGTTAGTATCTTGTGGCCACGAGTTAGTATCTTGAGGCCACGAGTTAGTATCTTGTGGCCACGAGTTAGTATCTTGTGGCCACGAGTTAGTATCTTGTGGCCACGAGTTAGTATCTTGAGGCCACGAGTTAGTATCTTGTGGCCATGAGTTAGTATCTTGTGGCCACGAGTTAGTATCTTGTGGCCACGAGTTACTATCTTGAGGCCACGAGTTACTATCTTGTGGCCACGAGTTAGTATCTTGTGGCCACGAGTTAGTATCTTGTGGCCACGAGTTAGTATCTTGTGGCCACGAGTTACTATCTTGTGGCCACGAGTTAGTATCTTGTGGCCACGAGTTACTATCTTGTGGCCACGAGTTAGTATCTTGTGGCCACGAGTTACTATCTTGTGGCCACGAGTTAGTATCTTGTGGCCACGAGTTAGTATCTTGTGGCCACGAGTTAGTATCTTGAGGCCACGAGTTACTATCTTGTGGCCACGAGTTAGTATCTTGTGGCCACGAGTTAGTATCTTGTGGCCACGAGTTAGTATCTTGTGGCCACGAGTTAGTATCTTGAGGCCACGAGTTACTATCTTGTGGCCACGAGTTAGTATCTTGTGGCCACGAGTTAGTATCTTGAGGCCACGAGTTAGTATCTTGTGGCCACGAGCAGTGATGCCGGTAACGCGTTACTAAGTAACGCGTTATTCTAATTTGACCCCTTTTTTCAGTAACGAGTAATATAACGCGTTACTATTTCGAAACCAGTAATCAGATTAAAGTTACTTATCCAGCGGTCACTTTGCGTTACTATTTTTGTAATTTTCCTTAGTAAATATATATATATATTTATTTCTTATTGCATCTCGGGGAGTGTGCGCGACAAGTCACGTTTTCAGCATGAGATCACGTCACGTGTACCACGCACGCAGCGAATGTAAACAACGTTGGAGGGAGGAGAGAGATGCGCCTTTTCTAGCTGGAAATACAGTCACTATTTTGAGTTTGTCTCAGCTAAAGATGGCAACATTAAGGTCCGTTGTAAACTGCTGGCGGTGACAAAGTGTTATCTACCTACAGAAACACTTCGTCAAATTTGAAAAAAACAAAAACATTTGGATTCGCAGCACCGCACAATCAAACTTACAGAGCAAGTCACGCCAGGTGATGCGAAGCAGAGAGCAGGTTCCCCACCACAAAAGCAAAAGCTGGACTTCGTTGCAAAACCAGTAAGTGGGGGAGTTGAAGAAGTTGGTCGGGCAGTTTGGTGTGGAGGAAATGCTGCGATTAAACACGGTTGATTCGCCTTCGTTTTAACCCGAGAGGTTTGAGAAGCTTCTGTTAATGATGTACGTTACAACCACTGGTTTTTACTCGCCTCTCTCATTAACTCATGGGATTAAACATAAGATAAAAAAAATAAAAAATGTAGATTATGAATAGTAAGTTGTCACAGTGTTAACTGTTAAATATGTCAGGTCAAGAAATGTTATAGTCTATATTTAAAATTTTTATAAAGACGCATTTATGTTAAGTGAAGACAAGAAAGGCTGTCTTTATTTTATTTTTTATAAAAACAAGTATTTATGTTAAGTGAGGTGAAGAAAGACTTAAGTTGAGTCAAGAAAGACTGTATTTTTTTTTTTTTTGTAAAACATGTTTTTTTCAGGAAATAGTTTTTAAGTTAAACTTTAAATGACAGGAGATTGATTGTTGATGTTACTGTTAAAAATACACTTCCAATAAAGTGAATGTTGGCAAAACCGGTTATCATTTTTATGTTGAGGTCGTGTGTTTTTTTTTTTATGTTGAGGTCGTTATGTTGAGGTGTGTTGTCGGCAACTGCTGAATGTAACTAATAAAAGTAACTTGTAAGTAACTTAGTTACTTTTAAAATCAAGTAACTTTTAAAGTAACTAGTTACTTTAAAAAGCAAGTAACTTGTAAAATAACTTAGTTACTTTTTCAAAGTAACTGTGGCAACACTGGCCACGAGTTACTATCTTGAGGCCACGAGTTAGTATCTTGTGGCCACGAGTTAGTATCTTGTGGCCACGAGTTACTATCTTGAGGCCACGAGTTAGTATCTTGTGGCCACGAGTTAGTATCTTGTGGCCACGAGTTACTATCTTGTGGCCACGAGTTAGTATCTTGTGGCCACGAGTTAGTATCTTGAGGCCACGAGTTAGTATCTTGTGGCCACGAGTTACTATCTTGAGGCCACGAGTTAGTATCTTGTGGCCACGAGTTACTATCTTGTGGCCACGAGTTAGTATCTTGTGGCCACGAGTTAGTATCTTGAGGCCACGAGTTAGTATCTTGTGGCCACGAGTTAGTATCTTGAGGCCACGAGTTAGTATCTTGTGGCCACGAGTTACTATCTTGAGGCCACGAGTTAGTATCTTGTGGCCACGAGTTAGTATCTTGAGGCCACGAGTTAGTATCTTGTGGCCACGAGTTAGTATCTTGAGGCCACGAGTTAGTATCTTGTGGCCACGAGTTACTATCTTGTGGCCACGAGTTAGTATCTTGTGGCCACGAGTTAGTATCTTGTGGCCACGAGTTAGTATCTTGTGGCCACGAGTTACTATCTTGAGGCCACGAGTTAGTATCTTGTGGCCACGAGTTAGTATCTTGTGGCCACGAGTTACTATCTTGTGGCCACGAGTTAGTATCTTGTGGCCACGAGTTAGTATCTTGAGGCCACGAGTTAGTATCTTGTGGCCACGAGTTACTATCTTGAGGCCACGAGTTACTATCTTGTGGCCACGAGTTAGTATCTTGTGGCCACGAGTTAGTATCTTGTGGCCACGAGTTAGTATCTTGTGGCCACGAGTTACTATCTTGAGGCCACGAGTTACTATCTTGTGGCCACGAGTTAGTATCTTGTGGCCACGAGTTACTATCTTGAGGCCACGAGTTACTATCTTGTGGCCACGAGTTAGTATCTTGTGGCCACGAGTTAGTATCTTGTGGCCACGAGTTACTATCTTGTGGCCACGAGTTAGTATCTTGTGGCCACGAGTTAGTATCTTGAGGCCACGAGTTAGTATCTTGTGTCCATGAGTTACTATCTTGAGGCCACGAGTTAGTATCTTGTGGCCACGAGTTAGTATCTTGAGGCCACGAGTTACTATCTTGTGGCCACGAGTTAGTATCTTGTGGCCACGAGTTAGTATCTTGTGGCCACGAGTTAGTATCTTGAGGCCACGAGTTACTATCTTGAGGCCACGAGTTACTATCTTGAGGCCACAAGATAGTTATAATTATTTTTTTTTACCAAAGTGGGACTAGAGGGGCTCCGTACTACAACACATAAAACTAAATGTTTTTTGTTTTATGTGTTGGTTTCTTGAACATGACAATGAGTACTAAAATGGCCCCCACAGTCACCAGATACAGTAGTGTTCCTAATAATCATTTAGGTGAGTGTATAAACTCATATATTACCTTAAAGGGATACTCCACTTTTTTTGGAAATAGGCTCATTTTACAACCCCCCAGAGTTAAACAGTTGAGTGTCACCGTTTTTAAACCCATTCAGCCGATGTTCTGATATTTAGAAGAATATCAGTAACCAGACAGTTTCTGGTCTCATTGACTGCCATAGTATATATTTTTTCCTACTATGGAAGTCAATGGGACCAGAAACTGTCTGGTTACTGATATTCTTCTAAATATCAGAAAATCGTCTGAATGAATTCGAAAACAGTAAAACACAACGGTTTAACTCTGGGGGAGTGATAAAATGAGCCTATTTCCAAAAAAAGTGGAGTATCCCTTTAAAAGTACCTATTGTAAAGGGCCACAAATCTCTGGATTTAACATTTACAGGCATGATCTTACCCTTTAGTATTTTCTTTAAAACACAGAAATTGTAACAAAAACATCTAACAGTTTGAGCAGTTTTGTGTGGGAGGTGGAGGGTGTACACTGTACGAGCTTTTATAACCTCGAGATATAGAGACGAGATAAAACAAACTTTGATTTCATCTCACCCATTATATGCTTTTGGATAGAAAAAGAGCTTCTTCTTTTCTTTTTTACCATAATCACGTCGGGTTTGTGAAATAGGATGCAGCAAATGGATGTTGTGTTCATTTTTCTTTACAGGCAATTTCATTCCTCACCCCGTTGGCCGTGATATTTGTGGTGAAGATTATACAGAGGACAGACAAGACGGAAATTAAAGAGGCTTGTTTAGGTGAGTACCCAAACCATGCCAAAGATATAGTCAACAAGTCAATGACTAATGTACGCCATTCAAATCTGTACCTATCGTTATTGCTTATGGAAAACATGAAAAATTACTTTTATTCTGCATGGGTGATTTTCTTTTCTTCCCTATTGTGACATATCCGAGTGAAACAAGAAAAAATATAGGGCGAGACTTGCTTTTGTCCGTGGGCAATTGATTTGGATGGTTTGATGGTTGTGGTTTGCTATTGGTGGATCTCATGTGATTGACGGGTTGTCCCGCCCTCATGTCATCAGAGAAGAGATCTCACTGAACTTATTTTGATTAAATATTTCAAGGGCATTTCAATTATAAAAATTATAATTGTCAATTTTGAATTCATGGTGACTTTAAAGGGTAACTAAACCCCTGGTCAGAGCCTGACTCCACCCACTGGGAATATTTGAAAATGCTGAAAAAGTGGGCAGACCCCAGCGGAGGACGAAATAGATGCTAAAACACTCTATCCTGGTCGTTTTCAATACTCACAATCCCAATTCCTGACTCCCTACAGTGGTTTTGACGACACAAGATGGTTTTTATACTGCCAAGGGCGTAGCTCGCGTGGTGAGCTGAAACCTGCGTACGTCACGAAGTGCGGAAAATTCAACTGCAGTAGCCACCGTTCAACCTGAAGAGGGCAGCACTAAGACGTTTTTACATCATATATTGTAGAAATAGAACACTTTATAAACAAATGTCAAAAAAGTTACTCTGGTATGACTGGTATTAATAAAGATCCATTCTTACAGATCATTAACTAAAAAAAGTTGGTTAAGTGTTTAGTTACTCTTTAATATAATAGGCAAGATTATAAAACATTTTTTTTTTATCTCAAATCATTATTTTATGTACACATAATTATTTATTTGGTGATTTGCTCTGCAATCGTTGTCCCTTACTTACGTTGATTATATTTACACAAACGGCAAGCCTGCATCTTGGTCCTGATAACTCTGTTAGGTTGGGGTTACTATTGTGACAAAAAATTGGTTGAACATTCTTCCTTACGTAATGAATATTCATAGTGAACCAACTCTCTTTTCCCAGCCTGTCATCAGTAATTCCTCATTTTGTTGAGATGAATGAATATTAGATTAATTTGCTCCTTTTAAAACAAGGGACAGGACTTTTATGGAAGGCATTTCCTAACATCCTGTACAATAACTTGCATGATAAGAGTCATATCATGAGAATATTTTGCTTCATACGATAAAAAAAAACTTTAAAGGAGTCATGAACTGGCTTTTTAAATTTTTTTATATTGTTGTCTGAGGTCAACGTATGATGTTACATTCAAAAACATCAAAATGAATAAGTAATAGGCTATTTTCTACCCTAGCTTTGAGCCTTGCTCTGTTTTTATGGGCGTCTCGCATTGAAGACTTGGAAGTAAACGCCCACTGCTGTGATTGGATAACAGTTTTGCATATTATAATGAGTTTCAACTCACCCGATACAGCAACTGTCTTCTTCCACAACCAGGCGCTGCACAATATTTCTCGATCCGGTTTGTCATCAAGAGGTAGGCATCTATGATATTTAGCTATGTGTGAAATGCGCGAATCGGTGGGCGGGGCTAAACCGTCCGTGTTGAAGTAGGCGTTGATCTCCTTCTGTGAGGGTGGGGTTTTTATCCTCTTTGACATCATAGTTCCCCACTTTGAAAAACGAGAGAAAAGCTTTAATTGGACTAACAAGGACGTTTTCAGTTCTGAAACTTACAGGATATTCTCATAATATGATGACCTCTTAGAAGTCAAAGGCTCAAGGAAAATTTGATTTCTCAGTTCATCACCCCTTTAAAACGATGTACAATGACAGTATGAGACTCAAAGATTTCTCCAAGCTGCAAAAATGGTTCTTCAACATGATGCCTATTGGACAATTATGACCTCCATCTGCCCAGTCACAGTCAAATAATTAGTTAATTGCAAGTAAAGGTTTTTAGAAAGCCCTATTTACATTGATTTCATACACTCTGCCCTTTAATTCAGGAAACACACACACACCATGCCTTCTTATCACGACACAAATTCCCAAAGTTGCCTTATTTGCTTGTTCAGGTTTTTCTTTGTTTAATCAACCATTAGTCTCCACGGTAATCCCACATTTCTGCAGAGAGTATACAAAAATCAACACTATACGTTACACATTTAACATTTAATACTGTTTGCTTTAAGCCTCAACGAGCAGCCTGGGAATACAATGTTTTATTTATTTTATTTGTTTTGTGCAGGGCCACACACTCTTTTCTACTCTACAGAACTTTATCCTTCACGCCCCCAAAAACATCACTCTCTACTTGAATCAGAGGATTCACAATGAAGTCAAAGCCATTAAAAGAAAGCTCTATTTAAATTGCACAATTGGCAAAAGGAAATAAAACTGATTTCATTATGGAAAGACAAACGGGACCACAGTGTGATCTTTCAGATGTGAAGTGTTGAAAAAGATGGCATTACCCAGTATGTGAGGGAGAAGTAATCCCAATGAACATTTAATCTCAGGTGGTAAAGTACTCGTGTTGAGGGTCATGCATCACGGCAAGTTGTTTCTTCCCTTCAATTCAGAGATTCTAATGAAGTGTTTTCGACAGATGGGAATCAGAATAAAAGCTCTCACTGCTAATGATGTTTCATTCGAGGAGCTTTCACAACTTTCTAATCTTCCCCCTCAAGCTTAAGCATTAAAAAAAAAAGGTTCAAAACAGTCCAACTAAATCTAACTGTTAACTAAAAGTAACAAATCAGTGACAGCAAAAAGTAACATCAATTCTAGGTCAGTCAGTTCACTTAAGAACTGCAGTGTGTGTGTGCAGTAATTATAAGCACATTTTCTGTTTGTTCACACAGTTGTTGACAGCTATTCAGCTTACACCAATTAGTAAATTACTAAAAGAAACCTAATGTTATTTTGAGGAAAAAAAACGTAACTGTGTAACTAAGGCACTGTGGTTGTCCAATAGGTGTTTGTTACATTAAACTTGTCAAGCAGTAGTTAATAAAGTTAATATAGTTAATATAGTTATAGTTAATAAAGGCCCCATACATTAGATTTTGCAAGTCATTAGAGGCTAATGTTATCTATAGGTTAATATTCAAGTTGACAATACACTTGTACCAAATTTACATTAGTGCCACATCGTAATGCAAAGCCTACAATGTAAAAGAGTGGTTCAATTAAAAAAAAAACAACTTTTGCTGATAATTTACTCACCCCCATGTCATCCAAGATGTCCACGTCTTTCTTTCTTCAGTCGAAAAGAAATGAAGGTTTTTGATGAAAACATTCCAGGATTTTTCTCCATATAATGGACTTCAATGGGAACCAAACGGTTCAAGATCCAAAAGACAGTTTCAGTGCAAACTGTTCAAAGGGCTTTAAACGACACCAGACGATGAATAAGGGTCTTATCAAGTGAAACGATCGCTCATTTAATAAATAAATAACAAAGTTTAAGTTTTATAAGCTCAAATGCTCGCCTTGCTCTGTTCTGTGATGCGCGTTCGTGACTCTCCTGTTCGAACTCGTTCATCAAAATGAACAAATCTTTTCCCGAGTCAATTCGTTAGACCCTTATTCATCGTCTGAAATCGTTTAAAGCCCTTTGAGCAGTTTGCACTGAAACTGTCTTTTGGACCTTGAACCGTTTGGTCCCCATTGAAGTCCATTATATGGAGACAAATCCTGGAATCTTTTCATCAAAAACCTTAATTTCTTTTCGACTGAAGAAAGAAAGACGTGAATACGCATTTTATGCTTTGAACTGCACAGTGCTTTAACATAACCTTCATCCTTTAACATTTTTTGCTTCAAGCAGATAAACAGACTTTTTAATGGGTGGAGATATAGACAGCAGAAGTAAAATTGGGATGGTAAAGTATAGAATTACTTCTTTCCACAGTTAATTTTCAATGGACTGTGTGGCTGTGTGTGTGTGTGGATACCACCACAGGAAGTGGATTATTTAGGCCTTTAGGCCTAATATACAGTTGTTTAATATTGCTTATATTATAATGCTTAAAGCTTTTGAATTATGGCTTGTCTATTCATGACCAGTTAACGAAAGAGGATGAATGGGCTTCAATCAACTTTATCTAGAAACATATAGTGCTCTTTCCCACTGATCACAAAAAGTTTTTCTACTTTTAGTTTGCACGTTTAATGTAAAAATGACAGCCTATGCAATGCCACTGAAAACCAAAGTGACACATTTCAGAGAAGAAAAGATAAAATTAAAAATGTCTTAGGGTTACATATGTAACCCAGTTCCCTGGGATATGGTGTTAATAGGACAGTTCAACACAAAGCGATTGCTGGCATTTGCTTCAGGAATCGTGCAGAGATGACTCTACTATGACGAGGTCCCTCTAAAGGGCACTTGAAAAAAATTTGTAAAAATTATGATTTTCCATTCCCATTTTCTCTCTCTCTGTCAAAAATACAGTTTTAGTGAGCATTTCCTATTTCAGAATTGAAAGTAAATGTCCACTGAGTTCCTTCACAAACAAACATAGTTTGGGAAACCCTGATTAATTGTTTAATGCACTTCATGTTGTTGAATATATATATATATATATATATATATATATATATATATATATATATATATATATATATATATATATATATATATTCTCTTTGTATTGATTCTATTCATATCAGTGTGATAAATGTATTGAAGCTTGTCTTTGCCACTGGATTTTTTTTTTAAAAAAAAGGTAATTGAGACATTTTATTTCACAATTCTGATTTTTTTTTAGCAATTGCTCACAATTCTGAGAAAAGAAGATTTGCGTGGTATCGCAATTGCTATATATCCAAATCTGAAGGGATTATTTTTTTATAACACACAATTGCGACCTTATATCACACAATTCTGAGTCAGAATTGTGAGATAAAAAAAAAATCACAATTACCTTTTTTTATTTTTTATTCAATGGCACAAAGCTTCCATATTTAAAAGTTATGTCAAAAGTAATCGAAAAGCAATCAGATTATATAATCTAAAATGTGTAATGTAATAGATTGTTACAAATTATAATTCTCGCCATGTCATTTTAAATCAGTACAATTTGTGAGTAATCTACCCTACCCCTGCGGCGTACTGTGTGAACTGTGTACTGTGCTAGACTAACTGCACTCTTAGAAGAAAAGGTTCTATATAGAACCTTAAAAGGTTCTATCAGTTCTACGTATTTAGAACCCCTAAAAGGTTCTATACACTCTTAAAAAAGGGTTCCTCTGGGTTCTATATAGAACCCTGGGGTTCCGTACTTGGCCAATATAACTCCCCCCCCCCCCCCCCCCCCAAAAAAAAAAAAAAATAAAAAAACGTTTCGAAAAAAGCAGGGGATGGAACCATTTCTGGTTCTAAATAGAACCATTTCTTCTAAGAGTTTGGGACTTGTCACAGCACGTATTGTTACTATTTTGTTGATTTACCTGCTTCTATTGTTCTTATTTGTATGTCACTTTGGAAAAAAAGCATCTGCTAAATGGCTAAATGTAAATCTAGTATTTAACAGGCATCAATCATCAAAACTGTTGCTGTTTAGGACATAATATAGTGGATAGTTTAAGGCTGATATCAGATTAGAAAGGTCACTTAACTGTGAATGCTGTCTAACAGAGTCATTATTAATCTGCCTGTTTCTTGTTTTCTCTATTTTGCAGCGGTATCTCTCGCACTAGCTTTGAACGGCGTCTTCACAAATACCATCAAGTTGATAGTTGGCAGGTAATGTAAAAACATGATTTCTGTATCATTTCCATAAGAATTGTACACCACTTTAAAGGATTGTTCTGGGATGATTAAAAACTAGAATCGCTTGAATGACTTTAATTATTTTTTACAAAATAAGAGCAAAAAGACCAAGGCACTTACAATGGAAGTAAACAAGGCCAGGTGATACATCTTGACATTTTGGGGTGAACAAAGACAGACACAGGAGTGCAGAATACAAGCTAATGTTGATTAGATTGGCACAACAATGGTGGACTTCTCATGTTTGGTATCGGTTCTTTCAGTGCTGTGTCAGTAGCTGATGCTATGAGTAACACCCTTCGGATATTACGATTGTCCAGAATCACAGCAATTTACTGGCTGACCCATCGAGGTACACATCACCCGTATCTCACAAGGACATACTCGTGACATCACTCCTCAGATTTATTTTCCTCAGGAAGTGGTTGATCTGACTGGTGTAGTCAGTCCTTATTTTCCTATTCTCACCTTAGAGAACAATTTTCAGACAACTTTCTTTGAGCGTTTCATTACATGTGTGTGTGTAAAGTACTTACTCAAGCAGCACTTAACTGCCTATCTGACTGTCAACTAATCTTCTTTCTGAGGAAAGAAGTACATTCTGTGACTTCTGCCTAATATCTTCAGGAAATACCATAGAGGAAGTGCCTCCTTCCCAGGTAGAGTCTGGCTTTTACAGCTGATGTTTTCTTAATGTTGCTGGGCCAGCTCCAAACAAAACTGCTTCAGTGCTGGATCAACGATTCACTTGGGTAACCTCAAGTTGGCATTTATTCATTTAGCTGACACTTTTATCCAAAGCGACTTACAATTGCTATATATGTCAGAGGTCACACGCCTCTGGAGCAACTAGAGGTTAAGTCTTGCTCGGGGACTCATTGGTGTCTCACAATGGATTCGAACCCAGGTCTCTCACACCACAGGCATGTGTCTTATCCACTGTGCCATCTCTATTACTTTGAATAAGACCCTGGTTTTTGACGCAGGATGTCTGGCTAGGTGCGATCTGTGATTGCAAGACATTTGAGATGGATGCCTCTTTGGTTGGTTGGGACATGGTCTATCAAGGCCGTCAGGGCTACTGAGTCTGAGAGGGAGCCCATCTCTGTTTTTCTGCGGTTTTTCTGACATTGAAAACAATCCTTTTGGACTGTCGGACTGCCCCATGTTGATCAGAATGGACAACATGTCAGTGACCTGAATCAGCAAGAGGGAATGCATTCTCACTCCCTGTAAAAGTTAGCGAGGCACGTTCTACTCTGGGCTTTGAACAAGTTTCTGTCTGTCAGGTGGTTAATGTTCCAGGGGTGCGTTTCCCGAAAGCATCGTTAGCCAACTATGGTTGCAAGTTCCGTCGTTATCTGCATAGTTTAACGAGTCGGTGAATCCCGAAACCATCGTTCCAACGAACATTCGCAAACAGCATCGCAAAGTTGGGTGGTTTGAACAGCTCTCGAGCTGTGGGTAGAGGCATCGTTTCTATATTGCATGACATTTGGACGTAATAAATCCTTATCTTGAGCAAAATAAGCAAGCTGACATTCAGTACAACCGGTGCCTTTTATTTAGAATACATACAAATGTAATTTACGTCTTTTAGTTTTTCAAAAGATTTGAAGTACCGTGTTTGAAGAGTGCGCATGTGTGAACGTGCTCTGTAAGAACGAGCCAAATATTGAGTCTGGTAATAAAGCAGAAAACTGAGAACAATTAGAAATAGTCCTCAGATGACATGTCTGTAATTTATGTAAAACAAATCTAGCGTTAATTGGATCTCAAACAGTTTCATTAAAAGTAGCTATTACTCCACCACGTGCGAAACCAACGTGGTTGAACGATACTTTGCGACAATGGGTTTCGGGAAACAGTCGTGACTAGCTAGTTGATTTCTCCAACGATGCATCGTAGTGAAGCAGTGAACTACGTCGTTGTACGGTAATAAAGCAAAACAACTGAGAACAATTAGAAATTGTCCTCAGATGCAACATGACATCATGACTTTTGTGTAAACATGCACACCACTTTCGAGTCAAGTGGCGTTTTGAGCTATCCGCGTGTATCCGCGTGTATGTCTGCGCCATTAACGTCCGAGTGATTCCGCGTGTCTGTACACGTCGTCGAATGTCCGCGCCAAACAAAGCAAAATGTTGATTTACATCTGGGGAGCGATTTTTTTTTTTTTTTTTCCTAGGATGGTAAGGGAACAGTCATAAATGCCATTAACCCCAGTGACGGTTAGGTTTAGGGACGGGGTTGAGGTAAGTCATATATTTATATATACAGTAATAACGTTAAGTCAACGGCGTTCATAAACGCGCTGAAAAGCGATTGTGCGTCTTGATAGCACACCACAAATGGAAATACAAATTGGCGTGTCATACACACGCTACTTCATGAGATCAATCTGTCAGATGACATGTCTGTAATTTATATAAAACAAATCTAGCGTTAATTGGATCTCAAACAGTTTCATTAAAAGTAGCTATTACTCCACCACGTGCGAAACCAACGTGGTTGAACGATACTTTGCGACAATGGGTTTCGGGAAACAGTCATGACTAGCTAGTTGATTTCTCCAACGATGCATCGTACAGTACTATGGTAGTGAAACAGTGAACTACGTCTTCGTACGGGAAACGCACCCCTGATCGGCTGAAGCTGGAAGCGTTTTTTCCTAAGGCCAGAATACTTTTTCAATTGTTTTGAATACCTGGCAGGACAACTACCACAGTGACCAATTGTCACACCCTGATTGCAAATGGAACAAAATCAATCAAAAAGCAGGGCAAGTACTTTATAAGTCCCAAAATTTATAATCAGAAGCAAACTATCTGCAAAATCAGTTAACGCACTGATCTGACAAAACCCGCACAGGTTGAGGACCATAAGTGGAGGTTACACCCTCAAGTAGTAAGTGTGAATAAGGAAGCAGAGGTTTGAAAAGGCAAAGCTGCATCTGTTTGACATTCTGGCCTCTGCACGGAGCACTCTGATTGGTTCTGGCCTCTGCACGGAACACTCTGATTGGTTCTGGCCTCTGCACGGAACACTCTGATTGGTTCTGGCCTCTGCACGGAACACTCTGATTGGTTCTGGCCTCTGCACGGAACACGGAACACTCTGATTGGTTCTGGCCTCTGCACGGAGCACTCTGATTGGTTCTGGCCTCTGCACGGAACACTCTGATTGGTTCTGGCCTCTGCACGGAACACTCTGATTGGTTCTGGCCTCTGCACGGAACACTCTGATTGGTTCTGGCCTCTGCACGGAACACTCTGATTGGTTCTGGCCTCTGCACGGAACACTCTGATTGGTTCTGGCCTCTGCACGGAGCACTCTGATTGGTTCTGGCCTCTGCACGGAACACTCTGATTGGTTCTGGCCTCTGCACGGAACACTCTGATTGGTTCTGGCCTCTGCACGGAACACTCTGATTGGTTCTGGCCTCTGCACGGAACACTCTGACTGGTTCTGGCCTCTGCACGGAACACTCTGATTGGTTCTGGCCTCTGCACGGAGCACTCTGATTGGTTCTGGCCTCTGCACGGAACACTCTGATTGGTTCTGGCCTCTGCACGGAACACTCTGGTTGGTTCTGGCCTCTGCACGGAACACTCTGATTGGTTCTGGCCTCTGCACGGAACACTCTGATTGGTTCTGGCCTCTGCACGGAACACTCTGACTGGTTCTGGCCTCTGCACGGAACACTCTGATTGGTTCTGGCCTCTGCACGGAGCACTCTGATTGGTTCTGGCCTCTGCACGGAGCACTCTGATTGGTTCTGGCCTCTGCACGGAACACTCTGATTGGTTCTGGCCTCTGCACGGAACACTCTGGTTGGTTCTGGCCTCTGCACGGAACACTCTGATTGGTTCTGGCCTCTGCACGGAACACTCTGATTGGTTCTGGCCTCTGCACGGAGCACTCTGATTGGTTCTGGCCTCTGCACGGAACACTCTGATTGGTTCTGGCCTCTGCACGGAACACTCTGATTGGTTCTGGCCTCTGCACGGAACACTTTGATTGGTTCTGGCCTCTGCACGGAACACTCTGATTGGTTCTGGCCTCTGCACGGAGCACTCTGATTGGTTCTGGCATTTTTTCTGAGATAACTGAAACCATTTTGAATTCTAGAGCTTCCTCTAAGAAGAGTCTTTATTCTTCTAAGTCACGGCTCTTTGTGTTGTGGCGCAGGGAGTGGGAGTTGGACCAAGTCCACTGCTCTATTGATTCAGTGAAAACATTCTTTGGTTTCCCACATTGTGTGGAGATGGCTAAGGCCTACACATATTCCTTCATGGGATTTGCCCGTGGTCCTGGAAAGATTGATGGGACTGGAGTCAGACTCATGGAGTGTTCTTGAAACAAGAAAATGCTCTTTCTGCAGCTTATGGGGCTCATTAATTGATTTTGCCACTGGGCATTCATGCAAACTCTACTAGGAGTGTAACTTCTAGAAAGCTATTGTTTACAGGGGCTTCCTTGGAGGATAATATCAGTTTCGTGTTCAGCCACTTTGGAGTGGTATACTGTTTCCATAGTGTCAGCTACTGATGCAACGCAAGTTAACCTCTGTCCTGTTTTTGCTTCCTTTGTTATTGATCTGAGGGTTGATGGCACAAGCATGTCTTTTTGAGACATAGGTGACGTATATAGGTGCATTTACATGGTGCATTGAATTCCAATTTCAATTGGTTTAAAAGTCCAAACTAAATAAAAGTGCTCCATCTAAACACCTCAATCGGAATAAAAACCGATTGAAATTTAATCTAAAATTCTCTGTCCACTCATCGTCTGTGAAGTGGTGCAGAAAAACGTTGTCCCACAAGTGCTTGCTTCGAACTCTCATCTGCAGCCACCTTGTTTTGGGTGTGGTAATGTGCATTTTTACTTCTTGATTAATATAAGCATCATTGCATAAAGCTTTGTGCGCTCGTCGTCTCCAAATTAGGACCCAAAATAGAACCCAAAATGGATAAATATTGGTCTGCTTTTTAAAACAAAGAAAAGGAGGATGGATAGTATACGACAACTGTATATTCACACAACATTTAAAGATTAAATCCGATTTGAAGCTTGTGACATAAACACTCCTCAATCCGAGCACTTTATAAAGCGTTCATATAAACACTACGTTTGGATTCATCAGTTGGAAAGTGGCAATGAAAACATGGATAATGACATTAATATGGGGTGCATCAGCTTAAAATTGAAAGGATGCTCGCAGAGACAATGGGTGGAGCTTGACGTAAAACTCCCCTTGTCTGGACCTAATCAGTGAAACTAGAAGGTCCAACCACACCATAGCCCTAACCTTAACCCTATCCCTAAAACTAGCAATGCATTGGCGTGATTCTATACAGGCTTCAGATAACCATCACACATGGAGGGTGTTCCCCATAGCACCAGCTACTGATCAAGAAGCAAGGTCACATTGAGATGTTCAATTGCTGAAGGATGGTGGAAGCTCTCCTAGAGTCTTGGGCTATAGGGAGGGAAATATCATAAAAATGTACCAAAAATACAAAGCATGGATAATGTTGTACGTACATATAAGTGGTCTTTATAATGTAGTTCATTAGCTACAGTGATTTAATAACTAGATAACAGGCAATACATCACTAGATATGATTATTGTGCTAGATAGACCCATTTCCTTGTCGTGATTTTCAAGCAATCCGGAAGAACTTGTTTAGCTGGTACAGGTGAGTTTGGAGCTATGGGCTGTTTGCATGGGCTGGGTTGAAGACCTCTGTTGTATAAAAAACTATTTGGACAGGGGTGCAGAGCTCAATTCAAAAGTTGAGGTGCTTTCATCATTGCATGTTGGAATTACCACCATTTCGAGATTCTTACTTCACATCCTTGTAATTACAGCTTGTAAATTGGTAATTTTCGGAGAGTTCCAACTTGTACCACATGACCGCTGTACAACTTGGCATGTGAGTTGAACTCTGTATGGCTGTGGCCCTCCAGGAACTGAGTTTTGCACCTCTTTATTATGATATTTGTCCTTTTACTTGTAACCATGCTCTTACCATTGGCTGAGATCTCTGATGTTGATCTTGATCTCAGGCCAAGGCCAGACTACTTCCACCGCTGTTTCCCTGATGGCCAAATGAATGCCAAGATGCTGTGTACTGGAGAGCCAGACCTTGTGTCTGAGGGTCGGAAGAGTTTTCCCAGCAGCCATTCCTCCTGTAAGTGCCAATGCGTAAGCTTAACACATTGCTTGATCTGCTTTAGTTTTAGTACAAATCATTTATATGGGTAAACTTTTAAACCTGTATCCATCCTTATTTTGCAATGCGGAAGTAAATACGATGACATACTTACTTTTAATGTGTTGACTTCCGTTTCGCTAGCCGGTAGGTAAAAAGCCATGTTATGGGAGCACTCACAAAACACCGTGATATTTATCACACCCTTGGTGGTGGGATGAAATGAAAAAGTGGCCTGATATCTTATGAAAATATTTTCAATTATTTTGTGTTGCGTCTTCGATGTGCGTGTCAGTGGCTCGTTTAACCAATGCCATCTCTGCATATGCTTATGACGTTCATATGGGACGTCAATGTGCGCCATTTCACCAGATTTGTATAGTCTATAAACTATACTTTATATCATGCAATTCTGAATTTTTATCTCACAATTCTGACTTTATATCTCACAATTCTGACTTTATAACACGCAATTCTGACTTTATATCTCGCAATTCTGACTTTATATCTTGCAATTCTGACTTTATATCTCGCAATTCTGACTTTATATCACGCAATTCTGACTTTATATCTCTCAATTCTGACTTTATATCACACAATTCTGATTTTATATCACGCAATTCTGACTTTATATCTCGCAATTCTGACTTTATAACACACAATTCTGACTTTATATCTCGCAATTCTGACTTTATATCTCACAATTCTGACTTTATATCTCTCAATTCTGACTTTATATCTCACAATTCTGACTTTATATCTCACAATTCTGACTTTATATCTCACAATTCTGACTTTATATCTCTCAATTCTGACTTTATATCTCACAATTCTGACTTTATATCTCACAATTCTGACTTTATATCTCACAATTCTGACTTTATATCTCACAATTCTGACTTTATATCTCACAATTCTGACTTTATATCTCACAATTCTGACTTTATATCTCACAATTCTGACTTTATAACACGCAATTCTGACTTTATATCTCGCAATTCTGACTTTATATCTCGCAATTCTGACTTTATATCTCACAATTCTGACTTTATATCACGCAATTCTGACTTTATATCTCTCAATTCTGACTTTATATCACACAATTCTGACTTTATATCTCGCAATTCTGACTTTATATCTCACAATTCTGACTTTATATCACGCAATTCTGACTTTATAACACTCAATTCTAACTTTATATCTCGCAATTCTGACTTTATAACACGCAATTCTGACTTTATATCTCACAATTCTGACTTTATATCTCACAATTCTGATTTTATATCACGCTATTCTGACTTTATATCTCTCAATTCTGACTTTATATCACACAATTCTGACTTTATATCTCGCAATTCTGACTTTATATCTCGCAATTCTGACTTTATATCTCACAATTCTGACTTTATATCTCACAATTCTGACTTTATATCTCACAATTCTGACTTTATATCTCACAATTCTGATTTATATCACGCAATTCTGACTTTATATCTCTCAATTCTGACTTTATATCACGCAATTCTGACTTTATAACACTCAATTCTAACTTTATATCTCACAATTCTGATTTTATATCACGCAATTCTGACTTTATATCTCACAATTCTGACTTTATATCACGCAATTCTGACTTTATAACACTCAATTCTAACTTTATATCTCACAATTCTGATTTTATATCTCGCAATTCTGACTTTATATCACGCAATTCTGACTTTATAACACTCAATTCTAACTTTATATCACACAATTCTGACTTTATATCTCGCAATTCTGACTTTATATCTCACAATTCTTACTTTATATCACGCAATTCTGACTTTATAACACTCAATTCTAACTTTATATCTCGCAATTCTGACTTTATATCTCGCAATTCTGACTTTATAACACGCAATTCTGACTTTATATCTCACAATTCTGACTTTATATCTCACAATTCTGATTTTATATCACGCAATTCTGACTTTATATCTCTCAATTCTGACTTTATATCACACAATTCTGACTTTATATCTCGCAATTCTGACTTTATATCTCACAATTCTGACTTTATATCACGCAATTCTGACTTTATAACACTCAATTCTAACTTTATATCTCACAATTCTGATTTTATATCACGCAATTCTGACTTTATATCTCACAATTCTGATTTTATATCACGCAATTCTGACTTTATATCTCACAATTCTGACTTTATATCACGCAATTCTGACTTTATAACACTCAATTCTAACTTTATATCTCACAATTCTGATTTTATATCACGCAATTCTGACTTATATCTCACAATTCTGATTTATATCACGCAATTCTGACTATATCTCACAATTCTGACTTTATATCTCGCAATTCTGATTTTATATCACGCAATTCTGACTTTATATCTCACAATTCTGACTTTATAACACTCAATTCTGACTTTATATCTCGCAATTCTGACTTTATATTTCGCAATTCTGACTTTATAACACGCAATTCTGACTTTATATCTCGCAATTCTGACTTTATATCTCGCAATTCTGACTTTATATCACGCAATTCTGACTTTATATCTCGCAATTCTGACATTATAACACGCAATTCTGACTTTATATCACGCAATTCTGACTATATCTCGCAATTGCGACTTTTTATCAAGCAATTCTGACTTTATTTCTCGCAATTCTGACTTTATATCTGGTAATTCTGACTTTATAACACTCAGTTGCAACTTAATATCTCCCAATTCTGACTTTATAACACGCAATTGCGACTTTATATCATGAAATTCTGACTTTATATCTTGTAATTCTGAAATAAAGTCAGAATTGCGAGATGTAAACTCACAATTGTGAGAAAAAAAGTCAGAATTATGAGAGAAAAAGTTGAATTGCCTTTTTTATTTTTCATTCTGTGGCGGAAACAAGCTTTGTGCGTGTGGATTAGAGTTGGTGAATTTATTAAGCTGAAAGACTCTTTGGTTTCAGATGTTATGGCGCCTTGGCACTTACTGCAGGCACAATCACTCTTTATTTCATCGTGGAGAGAGCAAATGCTTGTAAATAAGTGCATTTATTCCATATTAATACAGTGACAGGCCAACAAATTTAAACAGAAACTCCAAAGTCTGACTTTTTTTAGCCTTCTCCCAAGCCCTTGACTTGACTAACAGACGGTTACACTTCGAAATTCATTTTAGTTGCTTTTGTCAAGATATATTTCTAATATATTTATAACACGCAATTCTGACTTTATATCTCGCAATTGTGACTTTATATCTCACAATTCTGACTTTATATCTCACAATTCTGACTATATATCTCACAATTGCGACTTTATATCTCACAATTCTGACTTTATAACACGCAATTGCGACTTTATATCTCGCAATTCTGACTTTATATCTCGCAATTCTGACTTTATATCATGAAATTCTGACTATATCTCGCAATTGCGACTTTATATCAAGCAATTCTGACTTTATATCTCGCAATTCCAACTTTATATCTCACAATTCTGACTTTATAACACGCAATTGCGACTTTATATCATGAAATTCTGACTTTATATCTTGAAATTCTGAAATAAAGTCAGAATTGTGAGATGTAAACTCACAACTGTGAGGAAAAAAGTCAGAATTATGAGAGAAAAAGTTGAAAAAGTTTATTTTTCATTCTGTGGCGGAAACAAGCTTTGTGTGTGTGGATTAGAGTTGGTGAATTTATTAAGCTGAAAGACTCTTTGGTTTCAGATGTTATGGCGCCTTGGCACTTACTGCAGGCACAATCACTCTTTATTTCATCGTGGAGAGAGCAAATGCTTGTAAATAAGTGCATTTATTCCATATTAATACAGTGACAGGCCAACAAATTTAAACAGAAACTCCAAAGTCTGACTTTTTTTAGCCTTCCCCCAAGCCCTTGACTTGACTAACAGAAGGTTACACTTCGAAATTCATTTTAGTTGCTTTTGTCAAGATAGCAAACTGACTTGAGAAGCAAAAAGACTTTGTCACTGCCCCTCCTATTCATCAAAGCAAAAATTAAGCCTGTCTAACTTAGACTCAAGTTGTTTTATCAACATTATAATTTATTCCCTTTAAATCCTTTAATGGAAGAATGAATTAAATGAATCCTGAAAAAATGCATTGACAAATAGATGTAGACACAAATCCAAGGCAATCGAGATGTTGTTTTATGCGATGTTTATGTTATGTTTTGTTCTTTAATAAGATTAGTAAGTGTGGTCCAAAGTCTTAATGAGATTAAGAATCTCTTTTACAAAAGCATCCTGGCTCAGATCTCATTCTCCAAATTAAATATGGTTGATATGAGGCTAATAAATACTTAATGGATAATACCACTGACATCAGCTGAGTTAAAGTAATTATGATAAAGTAAAACACCATCTTGATTAAAAATTTTTTTTTGCAAAGACAATTTTTACCCTCTTTAAATTGAATGAATGCAAAAAATAGCCACAAAATTAATATAAAAAGGGAAATATTGAATGGTTTATCTGTCTGTTACTTGTGTTATTATTTCAATAGGGCCACGACACATTTTCTTTTAAGAATCATCCTTCTTTTAATTAATTTGTAATATTAAAATGAAGTGATGTCTGCAATGATGCCTTGTCATCATCCTTTATTTTATTATCCATTGAGTCAATGTAGACTGAAAACCTATCAATCCCTGATTAATGTTTTTTTTCATGCATTTAGACATGCTTGTTTATACAGTATAAACCTATAGTAATTTGTTAGTTTACATATTAAGAAATGTGTAATTGATATAAAAAACATACTTTACGAGTGAGTTGGCTACCATATCTATAAATAAAGGCTTTAGATTAAATGAAATTGCGGTCAAAAGTTTATAATAAATGCAAAAATCCTTTTATGTCCCCACCAATGTCAACATTTGCAGAAGTGCAACCATCACTACATCACTACACGAGGGCTTTATGGCAGAGTGGCCAGACTTTTCCTA